CCAAGAATGATGCTTATACAGGAAGGTAGCTTGGCATCGATACCAATGTTTAAATATTTATAGCCAGTTAGTGTTAAAGGATATTTTCTTTCAAGAATTCGAACGATTGGATAACGAGTAATTTGATATCTGTAATTTTAAAGAAAATATGAGATATAAAATAGATATAAAAGGAAAAAAATACTTACGTATTTGATTGTTCTTTATTTGGATTTTCATCATTGAATTTAACCTTCTTCGCGCTTATTGTCAGTTTGTCCTGGCTATTCTGTTCCATGAGGTAATTCTCAATATCCGTATTGCTGAACATTTTGTTTATATGTTTTGAAATATTGTCTTCACAGTTGGAAAGTACGTACATTCTTTTAAAATGATGTTATTGGAACGATTGTCCCTTTCGTACTGATCGTTTTGTAAAAATGATTACACAATTATATAATTATGTGTGATATCATTTTTCCCCTTCCCTTTCATTTTCTCGTTTATACATGTATTATACATATATGTATTATATATGTATTTATATGTATTTATATGTATTTATATATGTTATATGTAACATATATTAATAGTTTAGGTAATATATATGTTTATGTATTAACTGTACTGAATGAATTGATTCAAGATATCTTGCAACTGTTGCAATAATCCATCTCTCGAACATTCAGTGTTAAGTATTTTTTTATACTAAATTTATCCGCTTTTGTCACGATTCTCTTGAATTCGTTATATTGGTAAAATTGTTGTTTCTTAGCAAAATAAATATTACCGTCCATATGTCGGAAAGCCATGGTTGGAGATGGCGGTATTCCGGGAAATATTGATTGTAACGTTTGATATGCACTAACAGTCAGAGTACATTCGTCTATTTGCGCCACATCGTTGTCATCGAAGATTACGTACCATAGGTTTGTCCTTTGTGAGTATTTATCGCGGTATTAATTACAACATTTGGGGGAAATCCCAAATTTTTTAGATGTTTCGGCCAGCCTTCTTTTAATTTGAAACTGGGATAATTAACCATATAAACCATATTATTTATAAATAGTACTATTTCACCCGAGGGTCTTTGGTACGCGGCTGACAAAGAGAAATTTTTTGGGAGGAAATTCATGTAAGTATTTAGTTCAAATGGTCCGTCATATTTGTTATCATTTATATTTATCGACCATACATAGCTTTGATATGTGACGAATATTCGATGATTTAATATTAATATAGTATCCACATATTGTAATTCACAGAGATCTATTTTATCAGGCTTATTTGTCGGAATTTCAGTA